TCAAGCTGTTCAAATGTAAGTCAAGAATGGGTCCCCTCTATCTCACAACTCAATACTTTCCACAGGGCCCTTGTGTAGACCCCATAACTATGTTTGGAATTCAACAGGTACCTCTTCTCCCACTTCCTGCACCCCTCCTGCCCCCAAGTAGAACAATGGGCCAGGGCCATCCGGATAACAGCAGCTCTGTCCAAAACAGTTCATTACCAGCATTCCATGGTCCGTTCACCAGCCTGGAGGCAGAGGAGAAGGTACGGATGCCCCTTGCACGTGCTCTGGTGAGAGCTGAACACAGAATTCACAGCAGAACCTTCTCCAATGGTAGCCATTTCCACAAATTGTCCCTTTGTCTCCCCCTCTCTCATCTACTTGTCACATTCTGGAACCACAAAGGGATTAAAATGTCATGAAATTAGTTTTAAAATGCATTTCCCTTGCAAGTCTGCATAACCAGAAATGCCTCCTATTGGTGCCGATAAACTCTAGAGTGAGAAATGGTGTAGAGCTGCCCTAGCAAGGCAGAGGCGTGAGAGAAGGACAGGTAGACGTTGCCAGAGAACACTGGACTCCTGAGATCATAGCAAATCTAAAGACTTTCAGGAGGGTCCTTATATGACTAAAACCGCATCCTTGATGCTTCTACCAGCCTTATTCTAGAACAAAATCTAATTTTTTAAAAGATTCATTTATTTATTTGCAAAGCAGAATTACACAGAGAGGGAGAGAGAGAGATCTTCCATCTTGTGGTTTACTCATCAAATGGCTGCAATGGCTGGGGCCAAGCATGGCCTCAGCCAGGAACTGAAATTCTGTCCAGTTCTCCCACGTGGGTGTCAGGGCCTCAAGCTCTTGGGCCATCTTCTGCTGCCTTCCCAGGCACATTAACAGGGAGCTGGGTCAGAAGTGGAGTGGAGTGCATATGGGATACCCATGTCAGCGTCACCGGCAGTGGCTTGACCTGCTTGACCACCACACCGGCCCCACAAAAGGCCCATTCTAACCCTCGCTAACTGTCAGCACACCAGTGCACCTCTATGTGCAGACAAGAGCCATGCTTCTGGCCTTCCTCTGGTCTCTTCCCCCTCTCTCAACTCCTGTGTCTGCCTTTGTTCTTTGACTCCATTTTTATGATCCAACCTCTTGTGTGTCAGCTGAACAATTTTCATTCAAAATAAGAAATAGTAACAGACAGCACGTAACAAAGCCACAAGAAGTTTGAACTATTGTTTTAATTTTTTTTTTAAATTTGACAGATGGAGTTAGACAGTGAGAGAGAGATACAGAGAGAAAGGTCTTCCTTCCGTTGGTTCACTCCCCAAATGGCCGCTACAGCTGGAGCTGCACCGATCTGAAGCCAGGAGCAGGTCTTCCCCCTGGTCTCCCATGCAGGTGCAGGAGCCCAAGCACCTGGGCCATCCTCCACTACCCGGGGCCACAGCAGAGAGCTGGACTGGAAGAGGAGCAACCAGGACTAGAACCTGGCACCCATATGGGATGCCGGGGCGGCAGGTGGAGGATTAACCAAGTGAGCCACGGCGCCGGCCCCCTGAACTATTGTTTTAGAGTGCCTCCACTAAAAACGAGGCGGGAAAAATCCCACTTATAATACCCTGCAATGTTTTAGTAGGGATGGTGCGGGAGGCAAAATATTTGTCTGCCAATAAGCCCTTTCCTCTCAAATATTTCAGAAGGTCTGTTTTTTTTTTTTCAATTGGCACATGATATTATGAAGAAAGATAGATCTCGCTTCCCCTTGAAGAAAGACTTTCCTTCTATCTTCTGTAGGTCTGATATCAGAGTCTTTGAAACAAATTGTGTGCATGGAGCATCACATAAAAGCAAAGTAAACGTGCAATGAGACACGGAGATCTAGGAGCTTATATACCCTCATCACAGGGGAGTGGGAGGGGCTTTGTAGGCCACTTGGAGGAGAGTCCTGATTTTTGTCCATAAAACAAGTGATAGTTTGTGACAAAGTTTTTCTGGGCATGGTGTCAACTTCTAATCTCTTCTGTGGTAAGAGCTTGCTCACACTGGTTGATGACAATTGAGTTCCTCATGGAAGATCTGTTTTGGGGCAGATATGGAAAGTGCAGAGAAAGCTTCTGCCATCATCTGAACATGGCACCCAGAGGGTAAAAGCTTAATCCAACTGTGGTGTTTGGGGGTGAGGACTTGATTAGATTGGGTCATTAAGGTGGAATCCCTAGAATCAAATCCTGGTGGCTTTGTAAGAGAACACACACACCTAGACAGACACATGCTTCTTCTTCCATAGGATGCTCTATGCCACCTCAGCAAGAACAGCCTCAATAGATACCCAACCAAAGAAGCCTCCAATCTTGGACTCTGAGCCTATAAAACCATAAGTTGAAATAAACCTCTTTTCTTTGTAAGTAGTTTGTCTTAGATATTTCATTATAGTAATACAAGCTGACCAATACAGCCTCGCACTGTTCTTATTATCAAGCGACGTCAGCTTCAAGTAATCAGAAAACTAAGCAGCATATTTTCAGATGCATTTCCTGAACTCTTTCATCCCTTTGCAAAAATTAAAAAAAAAACTAAACAAACAAAAACACCAATCCTAGGGAAAGGTTCTAGTTCACTTGGTCTAGGCTCACAAGTTTACTTCTGAATCAACCGAAATACCTGGAGGACCAGGTGTTTGGGACAAGCAGTCCCTATAAGAACATGTAGTTATTCTGGACGGTAGGGCAATCCTCTGAAAGTGTGCTTCTAGGAAGAGAGAGAGGCCCTGGGCAGATAGAAAGGTAGAAGTTCACTTCACAGGCTTTTACGATTTCTGAGGCTGATACTTCCTGTTTGGATCCCATAGCCCTTCTGCGGACACTGTGGAGGGTGGTTCAGGCTAATTGCTAATTTATATCTGACATAGGAGACTGAGTGTTTTCTTTGATCTTGAACTTACTTTTATTTCTCACATGTGCTGCCCTGATAAATTTACTTATTATCACTTCCTCTGTTTCACCCTCTATCCTAAATGGTCTCTGTTGAAAATCTTATTCACACATTTATGTACTTGTCTTGATTATAGAAAATGTTAGCTTTAACTGCTTCTCTGTCTTTGCTCTTCAAACCCATTGATTCAATCATCAAGTCTCCCCCCAACCCTGCCCCACACACATCATACAAAACCTGTAGTGATAGGAAACAAAAGCTAAAGCTTTAGCACAATAGAGAAATCAAGGCAAAAGACAACTTTCAGAATAAACAAGCCCATTTAAAAAGTGTGAGGTATATGGTTGTGGGGGTGCTCATACTGAAAGGGAAGCATATCTTTACATCTTCAGTTTCCAGAACTGGGAATAAATAGAAAAAGATTCAGATGCAAAACAAGTATGATAATAAGTATGGCATTTATCATGCTTTTGTTCCTACAATTATATACCTGAGACAAACTTCTTATGAAGGGAAGAGGTTTATCTGGGCTCACGGTTTTGGAAGTTCACAGTCCAGGATTAGGTGGCCCTGTTTGGTGGCAGATGGCAAAGCAGGTGACACGGTGTGCATGGAGGAAGAGTCAGCTGGACACTGCTCAGGCTTTATAGACAACCTCCCGTGGGAACTACTCTTCAACAGTACACCCTCAATGATTTAAGGACCTCCCACTAGATTCGCCTTCTAGACATCACAACTGCTTTAAATTTCTACTCTCAGTGTCATTAACTTAGGACTTTGCATGAGTTCAGGGGCCAAATCTTGTTCAAACCATAGCAAGCAGTATTTAACTATTCAAAAGCAAATGCTGAAAAAGACAGCAAAAGGACAAGAAAGAGGTTCCTTGTAAGTAGGAAATACTGGGAAAAGGAATACAGCCCACAAGGCTGGTAACCTTCCTAATAAATCGTGTTGAAATATGTTTCTCCCTTATGTTTATGAGAATTTCATAAAGATAAAATGAAAGAAGCCCGAAGTTCAAGTTAATGGTCCCAGATTCTGACCTGGCTTAGCAGCATAGCTCAGATTTCATCTGTAGTCCTCTGATGATCTGGATCTCCTCTATTTGCTCTTCTCTAGGTTTAATCTATAGATGGTGCTTCTTATTACTACTTCTGACAAAAGTACATAGCAAGTAACATTTTTATGATCTTGGGGCCAGCATTGTGGCATGGTGGGTAAGGCCACTGCCTGTGATATGGGCATCCTATACAGACACAGGTTAGGTCCCGGCTGTTCCACTTCTGATCCAGTTCCCTGCTATTGTGCCTGGGAAAGCGGGGAAAGACAGCCCAAGTCCTTGGGCCCTTGCTCCCACGTGTGAGACTTGGATAAAGCTCCTGGCTCTTTGCTTTGGCCTGGCCCAGCCCTGGCTGTTGTGGCCATCTGGGGAATGGATGGAAAATCTGCTCCTCTCTAATTGCACCTATCAAATAAAATTTAAAAAAAAAAAAGTAAGAGCTTGTATATACAAAAGCATCTTTAATCAATGCTAAAACTTAAGTGTTTACAGTTCTAAATTGGAAACCATTTTTCTCTCAGAATGTCTCTATTGACTTTTTATTTCCAGTATTTCGTTGAGACATCTGAAACCATTTTGAACATTGATCAAAGTAAGCTTGTTTTTTCTGTCCTTGAATTTTTGCGAGTTTTTCATGGGATCAAGTGTTCTAAATGCTGCAATGGTAGGCCTTGGTAAGGATCCTCATTTAGAATGGTGAATCTTGATAAGACTTGTAATTCTGATAAATTTTCTTAAGCTATTTCATTATTTTCCTGTTTTCTTTCTAAAATTAATTCTCTTTAGATGTTTATCCTCCTGGACACCCTATAATATCTAATTTGCAAACAGTTCCTTTCATTTATACATGTCTTGGCCTTTTTGCACTGCAGTCTAAGAAATTTTCTCAAAATTATCTTCTAGAGCACTTTTTTATAGAAAACTTTTACTTAATAAATATAAATTTCCTAAGTACAACTTTTGGATTATAGTGGTTCTTTCCCCCATAACCACCCTCCCACCTGCAAACCATCCCACCTCCTACTCCCTCTCCCATCCCATTCTTCATTAAGATTCATTTTTAATTATCTTTATATACAGAAGATCAACTCTATACTAAGTAAAGATTTCAACAGTTTGCACCCACACAGATATGCAAAGTATAAAGTATTCTTTGAAGACTAGTTTTACCATTAATTCTCATAGTACAACACATTAAGGAAGAGGTCCTACATGGGGAGCAAGTGCACAGTGACTTCTGTTGTTGATTTAACAATTGGCACTCTTATTTAGGATGTCAGTAATCACCGGAGGCTCTTGTCATGAACTGTCAAGGCTATGGAAGCCTCTTGAGTTCACAAACTCGGACATTATTTAGATAAGGCCATAAGTAAAGTGGAAGTTCTCTCTTCCCTTCAGAGAAAGGTACCTCCTTCTTTGATGACCCGTTCTTTCCACTGGGATCTCACTCACAGAGATCTTTCATGTAGGTCATATTTTGCCACAGTGTCTTGGCTTTCCATGCCTGAAATGTAGAGTACTCTTAAGATGTTCATTCTGCTTTCAGATTTTAATTTTATAAAATTTGTTATTTGTATATTTGTTTTTAAAAATAGAATATTTGGGTCAGCTTTGTAGGGCAGTGGGCTAAGTCCCTATTTGCAATGCTGGCTTCCCTAATTGGAGTGCTGGTTCAGTTCCTGGCTACTCCATTTCTTTTTCTTTTCTTTCTTTCTTTCTTTCTTTTTTTTTTTTTTACAGGCAGAGTAGACAGTGAGAGAGAGACAGAGAAAAAGGTCTTCCTTTTGCCATTGGTTCACCCTCCAATGGCCGCCATGGCCGGCGCGCTGCGGCCGCTGCACCGCACTGATCCGATGGCAGGAGCCAGTACTTCTCCTGGTCTCCCATGGGGCGCAGGGCCCAGTACTTGGGCCATCCTCCACTGCACTCCCTGGCCACAGCAAAGAGCTGGACTGGAAGAGGGAAAACCGGGACAGAATCCGGCACCCGGACCAGGACTAGAACCCGGTGTGCCGGCGCCGCAAGGCGGAGGATTAGCCTAGTGAGCCGCGGCGCCGGCTGGCTACTCCATTTCTGATCCAGCTTCCTGCTAGTCCACCTAGGAAGCAGCAGATGATGGTCCAAGTGCTTGAAAAAGTTCCTGATTCCCTGCTTCAGCCTGGTCCAGACCTGGCTATGATAGCCATTTGAGTAGCGAATAAGCAGATGGAAGATCTCTTTCTCTCTTTCTCTCCTTGTCATTGTGTCATTTTGCCTTTCAAATAAATAAAAAATAATTTTTTTAACAATAGAGTCTTGTCTTTATTTCTGCATGCAATGTCTTTTCTGTCAGACTTCTGACTTCTCTGTTGTAAAATTCCTCAAACACTTGGTCATCCTTGCAGGGTGTTTCTATTTAGGAACTCAGGCTCTTCAGCCTATAAAATTAGAAAATACTTGTCTGTTTGCTTTTAAACTTCCAAAGTTTTATTACTCTTCTTGCTCAATTGTCCAGGCCAATTTGCTTCTGGCCCTAAACCTGTGTTGGGGCTCAGAACACCACACACTATGGTTTGGCACTTTGGTGTGCTGAGTGCTTTGAACTGAAGCCCCATGGAAGGGCTCAGAATCAAGGTCTCTTACAGTTTCTCTGCTCTCTCATCTGCTTCCCATCTTTTCCCTCCGGAGTAAGTCACAGAAAACAAAATTCCTCTAAGGCAGGTCACAGACAGTACAATCCTTCTCTCCCAAACCCAGTGAGAAAACCTAGAAAAGTTGTTCTTTCCCTTATCCTTTGAAGACTTCCAGGCTGGACGGCTCCTGCCACCCACCTAACAGAAGGGGAATGGGGCATTCAGAGGCCGGTAAGAATCCCAGCAGACAAGCGCTGCTGGCCTCTCCCTTCAGCTGACCACAGCGAGATCACATCGCTTTGTCTGACCATATGCATTCCTCATCAAATCTAGGCATAAAAATCCAGCTTCCCCTGGGTCTTCAGCTCTTCTTTCCTGAAGCCTCTGTTTCATCACATTTGATTAAACACATTGGTTAATGCTTCTCTGTCATTAACCTGTTTTCTGTTGCAGCTATGTTGGCAATGAATCTGATATGGATGAGGAAAGGTATCACATTTTTCTGCCAGAACCCTTAAACCCCACTCAGCACAAGAAAAGCTCTGTGCCCAAACTTCCCATACCTCCCTGGAAGGCAACTTGAAAGCTGTGTAGTACAAACCCCTGGGAGGCATCACTCCTGTCCCTTCTCCTTCCTTTCCCAGGCATTGGCAAAGCGACCCTCTCGTCCACATGTAATTCTCTCTGTGAAAGGGGCTTTGGGGAGCAGTGTTTGCTCCAGCTCATTTCCCATCAGGTGATTCCAATGTCTTTTAAAGAACAGATGACTCAGTCTCTTTTTCTGCCTCTTCTCCTTCTCCACCTGACCCAGCCACAGTCTCTGAAAACTGGGGGCTTCAAGGCCTCCCTTACTGCATCCTGTGAGGACAATGTAAGACAAAGGAAACTGGCAGGCTGGTGGTCCAAGATGGACACCCCAGGAGTTGCTTGGCCTCTGCCAGCTCTGAGAACTGTAAGCGCCATGGGGACATCTTCTCCTCAGTCCTCCTCTACCAGGGGGCCCCTGGGTGAGGGTTTACACTTTTTCCCATCAGGGCTGCAGTGTTAGCAAAAGTGAAAGTAACTTTAAACCCCTTCAGATCAAAACCCAAGGTGAAAAAAACCCAGTAACTGCATTCTCACCTCAACGATTATTGCAAGTCAAACCAAAGAGGGAAGAGAAGACGTGAACCTCCCTAGACCTGAATGCAAGCAACCGGTAAGAGCAGCGGCTCTCCACCCAAAACGGGAAGGTGTGAGACTCTGTGGAGTCTGCTGCTTCCTTTAGACCCAGGGAATGTGTGCTTGACACCTCTCTCTGCCTCCCCGCACCCCACTTCCTTCTATTTTTGTAGCTTCGAGAGGAACAGGAAGGGGTGTATTTTTAAAAATGTTTTTCAGCAGTTAGGGTCTGCCTGTGTTCTAGAAGCTCATGATGCTGTGAACTTACTGCAGAAATGACTGTGACCCTGGGCAGGGGGCTCAGGATGGTCCAAGTTGTCAAAGGAAGAGGGGCTCCCACCAGCTTGCAGGATTGCAGGTCATTTCTGTCAGGCTGGGCCAGGGAGCTCCAGGTCACACTGCATAAGATATTCAAATACAAAGTTCAAGACAGACTCCAAGGTTCCATCTACTTAATCAGTGACAGTGAAGGAAACAATAGGTTCACTGGAGAAGGTGGCCCCAGCACAAGCCTGCCTGGTACCGATTGTGCCTCTGGGGAGATCTCTGTTGCTGCAGGAGCTGGGAAAACCCCTGGAGACGCACGGAATAGGCAGAGAACGCTGACAGCTCAGGCTGCTGGAACCACATTCCTTGCTCAGTGGCTTGAAAATGCACACAGTTTAGAATGCAACTCTCTGTAAATAGGAAATAAAGAAAATTATAAATGGTTTCCTAATCAGATATATGTACCTCGGGGTAGCTACTAGTTTTGTTGCTGTTTGTTTGTTTGGTCTGGCGGTTTGTTGTTGTTGTTGCTATAATGGCTTCCACCTTGTTCTCTGGTTTTTGTTCTCTCACTTAGCGTCCAGTTCCATTTTCCATTCATTTTCTTCCATCAAATAGGTTTTACCACACCCAGAAAAGAAAAACACAGTTAAATACAAATTTCAGATAAATAATTTTTTAAGTATAGGCAGGTCCCATGTAGTATTTGATACCTTTATAGCAAAATGTTATTCACTGTTTATGTGCAAGTCAGTGGGACAGACCTCATGCTAAAATTCTTCATTGTTGAACCAAAATTCAGATTCACTGGGTGTCTGCATTTTTTCTGACAACATTAACTCTAGGCCTTTTTTCTGTCCTTTTCTGAACACCTTCCTGAGAGAGGCTTTCTTTAAGCCCCAGTAGAAAATAAAGGATTACAGACAAGCTGGTTCCCATGGACTGACCTGCTACAGTGTCATCTGATCATATTCAACCAAGGAGTTCAGATGGTTTATGGGTTAATAGCAGAATGAGTAAAGTTCTTTAAAGTTTGCTCCTTCTTCCAGGGAATAAGTAGCCAATTGAAATTATTTTATCATGACTAATCATATCTTTCTATACAGTTGTGATAAACCGTGTGACATCAGTCTGCAGCATCAAATTGCTAGCATATGGACTATCAGAGGGGTTTTTGTTTTGTAGATAGTTCTTTTTAAACTAGGAGAACCTAAATTTAGTGGACAAATATTTCTTTTCTTGAAGATTTCTTTATTTTTACTTGAGGGACACAGAGAGAGAGAGAGAGTGCGAGCCCACCTACTGCTTCAGTCTCTAGGTGTCTGCAATGGCTGGTGCTAGGCTGCGACTAAGCCAGGAGCTAGCAACTCAGTCCAGGTCTCCAATGCGGGTGGGAGGTACGCAATTACTCAAGCCATCATCACTTTGCATAAACAGGAAACTGGAATTGGGAGCAAAGCCAGGACTTGAAACCAAGAACTCTGATATGAGGTGTGGGCACCCTAATCAGCAGCTTAACTGCAAGGCCAAATGCTTGCCCTGAAAACTATTTCTTGAATAAATGTTGGGTACGCAGATGACAAGCCAGGTGCTTCTAGAGTGACAAAGCCTCAAGGATGTGCCTCCCATCCCAACCACATTAATTCATTCCGGAGCACACACAAGCAAGGAGCTGATTCGTTACAGTAGTATGTTTGCTATATGAGCCGTATAGGCTAAAAACTTCATATTGTGGAGGGACTCCAGTCCCTAGAATATTTGACAAACATATTTTTTCCTTTTTGAAGTTTTAAAAGCTGGCCAAATTATGGAACCAATATTCATGTGCCACAATCACTCCATGAATTAACAAATATTAACCTTTTTTACTTTTGCCTTATATAGAGAGAATTTCACACAATTTTCTCCCACATCATAGTCTCTCTAAAGTTGAGCGCATTTAAAGATTAATGGAATATTGGGGCAACTTTCTTCCTGAGTGATTCTTAAAATCAGAGTAGGTTTTATTTTATTTTATTTTATTTTATTTTATTTGACAGGCAGAGTGGACAGTGAGAGAGAGAGACAGAGAGAAAGGTCTTCCTTTTGCCGTTGGTTCACCCTCCAGTGGCCACCGCGGCCGGCGTGCTGCGGCCCGCGCACCGTGCTGATCCGATGGCAGGAGCCAGGTACTTCTCCTGGTCTCCCATGGGGTGCAGGGCCCATCCTCCACTGCACTCCCTGGCCACAGCAGAGAGCTGGCCTGGAAGAGGGGCAACCGGGACAGAATCCGGCGCCCCGACCAGGACTAGAACCCGGTGTGCCGGCGCCGCAAGGCGGAGGATTAGCCTAGTGAACTGCGGCGCCGGCCGCAGAGTAGGTTTTATAATCAAAAGCTTAGAATTGATAAAACCACATGATTTTTACTAGTAAAATAACGAGAGATGGAATTGAAGATCCTTGATTTTTCCCTAGCCTTCAATTTCACTCCCTCTCGTCTTAATTTTCTCCATCTCTCTAAGGCAGTGATTGTTATAAATCTGCTGTGTGCCTTTTAGGAAATGACTTTACATGTGTGGATATAAATAGTCTTAATCTATAGTGTTATTCTCTGTGTCATTATTCTATGTGTCTCTTTCCTGTTTACTTGCAATTTTTTTTTAAATACCTATGTTGGTTTCCATACAGATACTCATTTTATGTAATAAATCATATTTAATTGTATGCCAATACTACAATGAATGTATCCATTTCTCTATTGATGGACTCTTAAGTTGTTTCCAAAGCATTTTTCCAACTTCTTACTACTTTTTTTAAATGACAAAATAATTTTACATATTTGGTATACATCGATATATGAGTACAATATGCATAATTAGCTCCACACTATTACAAGAAAAAATTACTCTGTTACACACTTAGAAATGGAAGTTGCAGGTGGTAAGGTATGCATATTTTAAACAATTTCCAATTTGCCTTTAATCTAATTAAGTTTGCATTTAGTGGTGTCATTAGCTTTATTGAATGGAACCTGGATTTGTAATTGTGAGGGATGGTTCTTTTTCTCCTCAGAGAAAAGCCTTTTGTGTTTTTCCTTTCATCAGTTTTTAAAAGTCAGAGCTCATAATAATGCAGTGATAAAAACCACTCTCCATTAATGCTATCTCTGAAACTGACATGATAGTTTGCAGGCCAGGAGTCAACTAAACTACCTAAACTGTCTGAAACACCGCGGTGTTTTCAAAGGCTCTCTACGCTTGAAAGGCCACACCAGGCTTCTCAGGTGCCAGAGATGAAGTTAAATCAGTGTGAATTCTAATACAGAACTACCAGTCACATGTGTTAAGGGCTTAAGAATGGGTATCCCCATTTGATCCAATAGTGCCATATTTAGGAATTTACTGAAAGTCAACTATTAAAGATATGCACTAAAAAGAAGTGACGTGGTATTAACTGTAAGTAAGTTCGTAGCAGTAGAAAACTACAGACAGCCTTGAGAGGTTACAAGAATAAGTGAGGCGGGGTTGCAGCATTAAGTCTGCTTGGGAAGCCAGTAGCCTGAATCAGAGTGCTGGTCCAGTTCTGGCCACTCCACTTCCAATCTAGCTCTTTGCTCATGCACCTGGGAAGACAGCAGTTGATGACTCCTATACTTGGGCCCCTGACACCCATGATGGAGATCAGGATAAATTTCTCTTTTCCTGGCTTTGGCCTGGCCTAGACCCAGCTGTTGCAGCCATTTAGGGAATGAACCAGTATATGGAAGATCTCTCTTTCTGTCTCTCTGTCTCTTGGTTGCTCTGCCTTTCAAATAAATAAGCAAATCTCTTTAAGAGAGAGAGAGAGAGAGAGAGCAGATTTCTATTAAAAAATTGTCCCCCAAAGCATTCACAGAAAAGAAAATGGGGTAAAAGATTGAAGAATAAGCTTCTTTAAAAATATATTTGTGGGGAAATATTTGGAAGGATATAAACAAAGCTTTAGTAGTGGCTCTCTCTGGGATGTGGAATTTATGGACAAGTTCTGTTTTCTTTGTGCATCTTTCTAATTTTATATAATTAATATCTATTATTTTTGCAATGAATATAATTAAAAAGAGAAATGCCAGGATTTTGTTTAGTGGTCTCAGAGTTCCATATTGAGAATAAATGCTGGTTACCGTGCAAGCTGATAAGAGAATTTAGGAGAAAGATAAGATGGGGAAATAAATTTAATAAATCACAAAATCTGGGAACCATACCTCGTTTATTTTCTTCATCTTTGTTCTCTACTTTTAAGAGACTATAAAACATGGAAATCCAGAGATGACTGGTCTCTTACAATGAATAATTCAGTTTTGCTTGTGCTGTGGAAAGAAATTATGCCTCCAATAAAGACCTGTAGAAAAATAGATTCAGAGGCTGGCATTATGCCTCCACCTGAGATGCCTGCATCCTCTGTGGGTACCAGCCTGCATCCTGGCTGCTCCATTTCCGATTCAGCTCCCAGCTGATGGCCTGGGAAAACAGAGGAAGACGGCCTAAGTGCTTGAGCCCTGACACCCATGTGGCAGAGCTCCTGGCTCCTGGGTTCGGTCTCTTCCAGCCCCAGCCACTGGGGCCATCTGGGGAATGAACCAGTGAATGGAAGACCTCTCTCTCTGTCTCTCTCTCTCTCTCTCTCTCTCTGCCTCTCCACTATCTCTGTAATTCTGGCTTTCAAATAAATAAATAAATAAAGCTTGAAAAAGATTTAAAAGGTAGATTTAGCAGTCTTCATTGATATGAAATTTGAGAGCTATCTAATGCTTCTTTTATTAATTTAAAAATTTATTTTAGATGAGACCAAATTTCCTCTAGAACAACATTCTTTTTGTAGCTTTAATAGTCTTTCCTTGAAGCTTAGCTTGGCAGTAAACAAATAAATATATAAATATCCCTTGGTCAAGGTGGAAGCTCTATTTACAATGAGCTTCTGTCAGTTTCAGAACATCTAAGTTGGGCCAAAAGGAGAGTATGGCTGCAGGTAGATGGACTTCTAAGTTGCTGAAAACATTCAAATGTTAATCATGTAAAACTGGCGTTAGAGTGGACTAGTTGAAACTATTATAAATTATCATATCTAATGCCATCCAGTATGCAAATTATGGAAGAACTGGCATGTGTATGCATTGATGCTAGCACTTGAAAATGGCTCAGTATTTATGGAGAGAACCCAAATAATACTTAAAGATGATCAAAACTAGTTATTTTGCTTCCCTTCAAAAGACAAAGTTATTTGTATAAATATCTTTCTCATAAACACCAGTGCTTACTCTCCTTTCATGATATAACTTCAGAGAAACTACACCATACACTCAAAAAAAAGTTTAAGATCACTTCCAACTCTGAGTCTAGGATACATAAAATTATAGAACTTCAGGAAAAGAAGGAAACTTAGGAATGTAACTGGATGGCCTGAGACCTGCTAATAATTAAAGAAGTCAGACTTACACTTGATAGATGGCTCTGTAATTATGAGTACATTTTTTTTTATGCACGACTCATGCACTCAGTAATGAGGTAGCTCCTATCAAAAGGCCCTAGGGACCAGAGGGGAGTGGGACCAGGCAGAAGCAAATGCTGGTTTAGGGAATGCTCCCAGTGCCTCTGCAGCTCCCTCTGCATTCCAGACAGACAATAACTTGGAAGTGGTGTGAATTGCACCCCACCCCCACAATTAACCTCAAAGAGGTGTTAATTTCACAGTCAAACTGAGGACCATTTAAATTCAGACAGTGTCAGAAAACAAGCATTTATTTGGAACCAAAAGAACAATTTGTCTCTTTTCTTTTGCATTATCTGCCCATTAATTTTCCCAGAATAAAACATCTTCAAACAGACTTTCCCTGCTACTAGAATGCCCCACAACCCAGGCGAGAAAAAACAGGACCTTTAAGAGGGAGAAAAAGCCTTGGGTACAGACAGCAGGGAGAGTGAATGTCGCTTCCAAAGAGGGTCATTTCTGGGGAAAAAAGCTGAGACAACACACACTCATTCTTCTGAGTATCCTTGTATTAATGACATGATGATGTCTTGCCAGAGTTTGTAGGATTGTGAGGCTATGGACTCTTTCCTTCTCAAACTACCCATTTAGTTTATGGTCACATGGTGATGGTTTTGGGTGATACCTTACCTAGCTTTTCTTCATCTTGTGGTTTCTCAGCCTCAGGCACTATTGACAATTTGGACTGGCTATTTCTTTGGTTAGACGTGGAGGAGAGGAGAGGCTGTTTTATTTACTAGATATTTGGCAGCATCCCTGGCTTCTACCCACTGGAGGTCAGTAACACACTCCTCGACACTCTCTACTCACTATTCATGACAATTGAAAATGTCTCCAGATTTTGTAAATGCTCTTAGATTGCATCAGATTCCAGCAGTCATGCCAGCAAAATACTGTGCTATTCTTTTTTTTTTTTTTTAAGATTTATTTGTTTATTTGAAAGGCAGTTGAAAGGCAAAGTTACAGAGAGGCAGAGGCGGAGTGGGGGGAGAGAAAGAGAGAGAGAGACAAATAAACAAATATCTTCTATTGGCTGGTTCACTTCTCAAATAGTCGCAATGGCTGGAGCTGGGCTAGTCTGAAGCCAGGAGCCTGGAGCTTCTTCCAGATTTCCCACATGGGTGTAGGGGCCCAAGGACTTGATCCATCTTCTACTGCTTTCCCAGGCCATAGCAGAGAGCTGGATAAGAAGTGGAGCAGCGGGGACTTGAGCCGGCACCCATATGGGCTGCTGGCACAGCAGGCGGTGGCTTTATCTGCTATGCTTCAGTTGGATTCAACTCCCACAGTTATGGCTTCCTGACTTTGACACTTGTCCATTGGACCGTCAACCATATTTAAATGAAAATTAAAAGCCAAGAATATTGGGTAATTTGTGAAATCATGAGGATATGAATCCATTTAACTCTTCATTCCTTTCCACCTTGATTGTTCCCTTTGCTTTCCTTAGCACCAACCTATGTTCTTCATTATGGAAATACCCACCATGTATTGAACTGTACTATGTGCCAGGTCTTGTATTATGCAGCTTACATTGTCATAACAACTCACAGAATTAGGTACACATTTTCCCATGTCACTTGAGAGAGAGAGAGCTTCATGCTTTGGTTTAAATATTAAATGTCTCCAAGAGCTGATGGGGACAAGGCTTTATCCCAAGTGATGCTATTAGAAGTGGTGGAATCTTTAGAAAGTGGCACCTGGTGGAAGGTCCTTAGATCACTGGGAGTGTGCCCTTGGAAGGTAGTTCTTGTGTAGCCATTTGACTTCTTTTTTAATTTTAAAAAAATTTTTTGAAATTTTTAGTCAAGTAAGCCAGTCCCAAAGGGACAAATATCATATGTTCTCCCTGATTGGTGACAACTAACCAAGCACCAAAAAGGAAACCTGTTGAAGTGAAATGGACACTACGAGAAACAGTGACTTGATCAGCCCTTGTCCCGACTGTGATGTACATTTATACTTATCCCTTTAGTATTTTTTTTGTTCTACTAATACTATGGTGAACTCTATAATTAACACACAATTATTCTTAGGTGTTTAAATGTAACTGAAAAGTGATCCCTGTTAAATATAAGAGTGGGAATAAGGGAAGGAGGAGATGTACAATTTGGGACATGCTCAACTGGACTTGCCCCAAACAGTAGAGTTAGAAATGTGCCAGGGGATTCCAATACAATCCTATCAAGGTAGCATGTACCAATGCCATCTCACTAGTCCAAGTGATCAGTTTCAGTTCATAATTGATCATAATGATAGGATTAAGAGTCAAAGGGATCACACAAACAAGACTAGTGTTTGCTAATACTAACATATAGAATAAAAAAGGGAGAGAATGATCCAACATGGGAAGCAGGATACACAGCAGACTCCTAAACAGCAGATTTCCTAAACAGCAGTCTGGCCTCAGAATCAGCCCTTAAGGCATTTGGATCTGGCTGAAGAGCCCCTAAGAGTATTTTAGGCATGGAAAGCCAAGACACTCTGGCAAAAAAAAAAAAAAAACACCTAAATGAAAGATCTCTGCAAGTGAGATCCCAGTAGAAAGAACGGGGCCATCAAAGAAGGAAGTACCTTTCTCTGAAGGGAGGAGAGAGCTTCCACTTTGTTTGAATAAGATCGAAGTCGGTGAACTCAAGAGGCTTCCATAGCCTTGGCAACTCATGACTAGAGCCTAGGGAGATTACTGACGCCATAAACAAGAGTGTCAATTTGTGAAGTCAACAATAGGAGTCACTGTGCACTTACTCCTCATGTGGGATCTCTGTCCTTAATGTGTTGTCCAATGTGAAGTAATGCTATAACTATTACTCAAACAGTATTTTACACTTTATGTTCTATGTGGGTGCAAACTGTTTAAATCTTTACTTAATATATACTAAATTGATCTTCTGTATATAAAGATAATTGAAAATGAATCTTGATGTGAATGGAATGGGAGAGGGAGTGGGAGATGGGAGGGTTGCAGGTGGGAGGGAAGTTATGGTGGGGGGGAAGCCATTGTAATCCATAACTGTACTTTGGAAATTTATATTTACTAAATAAAAGTTAAAAAAATTATTTGAGTTACACAAATTTCATGTATTTCACAATTACAGATTTAGGAACATAGTGACACTCCCCCGCTCCCCCATGCTCCAAACTTTCCTCATCCCTCTCCCGTTCCCACTCTTAATATTTAGAAAGATTTATTTTCAGTTTGCTTAATGATCATATAGTTAACCGTACACTACGTAAAAGACTTCAACAAATAGTATGAAGAGGAAAAAAAGAGAAGCAAGGGTCCAGAGTTGTGGAGTAGTGGGTAAAGCCACTGCCTGTAGTGCCAGCATCCCATATGGGCACCGGTTTAAATCCCAGCTGCTCAACTTCCAATCCAGCTCTCTGCTGTGGCCTGGGAAAGCAGTAGAAGATGGCCCAGATCCTTGGGCCCCTGCACCCAGAAGAAGCTCCTGGCTCCTGGCTTTGGATCGGCGTAGCTCCAGCCATTACAGTAAATTGAAGAGTGAACCAAAGGATGGAAGACCTCTCTCTTTCTCTCTGCCTCTCCTTCTCTCTCTGTAAAACTCTGCTTTTCAAATAAATAAATAAATCTTAAAAACAAAAAGCACTGTTCCTCAACAGAAGAGACAAGGTCTGTAAACAATCATGGAATCTTAAAATGTCTATTTCACTTCAATACATTTCATTTCAGGTATTTTTTGGTAGCCTTGGATCAAGGAAAACGTATGATGTCTGCCTTTTTGGGACTGGCTTATTTCATTAAGTATAATGGATTGCAGTTGTGACTATCTTGTTGCAAAAGACAGTATTTCATTTTTTCCTGCTAAGTAGTACTGCATAGTGCATATATACCATAATTTCTTTACCAAGTCAACAGCTGATGGACTGCAGTGAACATGGAGGTACAGATAACTTTTTCATATACTGATTCCTTTTGGTTTGGGTAAATTCCCTGGGAGTGGGATGGCTG